TAATCTGTTGAGATCTTCTATTTCTTCGTGGTTCAATTTGGTAGGTTGTAAGTATCCAGGAATTTATCCATTTCTTCTAGGTTTTGAAATTTGTTGACATATACTTGTTCATAATAGTTTACAATAATACATTGTATTTCTGTGGCATCAGTTGAAATGTTTTGTTTTTTCCATGTGAACATTTATCTTTTCAAAAATCCAACTGTTTATTTTGGTGATCCTTTGTACATTTTTTTGTCTCAATTTGATTTTTCTACTTGGATATTTATTATTCATTTTCTTCTATTTTGAGTTTATTTTTGTTTTCCTAGTTTCTTCAAGTACATTATTAGGCTGTTTTTAGGAAACCTTTCTACCTTTTTGATGAGCATGTATTACTATAAACTTTTGTCTTAGTACTGTTTTTGCTGTATCCCACAGGATTTGATAGGTTATGCTTCCATTTTCATTTGATTCACAAAATGCTTAATTTTCAATCTTAATTTATTCGTTGGCCTATTGGTTGTTTAGGAGCATGCTGTTTAATGTTTATGTGTTTGTACACTTTCTGAAATTTCTCTTGATTCCCAGTTTTATTTAATGGTGGTTAGAAAAGATACTAATGAATTCAACTTCAAAAATTCATTGACGTCATTGTGTGGCCTAATGTATAGTATATCCTGAACAGTGTTTCATGTACTGATGAGAAGACTGTATATTCTGTAGGAGTGGATAAAGTGTTCTGTAGATGTCAGTTAGGTCATTTTGGTCTATAATGCAGTTTAACTCTATTGTTTCCTTGTTGATTTTGTGTCTGGATGACTTGTCCATTATAGAAAGTAGGGGGTGGGCATGCTGGCTCACGTCTGTAATCCCAGCACTTTGAGAGGCCAAGGCAGGCAGATCACAAGGTCACGAGATTGAGACCATCCTGGTCAACATAGTGAAAACCCATCTGTACTAAAAATACAAAAATTACCTGGGCGTGGTGTCATGTACCTGTAGTCCCCGCTAGTCGGGAGGCTGAGGCAGAAGAATTGCTTGAACCTGGGAGGCAGAGGTTGCAGTGAGCTAAGATCATGCCATTGCACTGCAGCCTGGGCAACAAGAGTGAAACTCGCCCTCAAAAAAAAAGAAAAGAGAAAAGAAAGCAGGTTATTAAACTTCCCTAATATTATTTATTGCTCTCTACTTCTCCCTTTAGATTTATTAATGTTTATATACTTGGATACTCCAGTGTTGGGTGCATATATTTTTATTATTGTTATATCATCTTGCCATCTTGCTGAATTGATTCCTTTATTGTTACATAATTTTTTGCCTCATTTTACGATTTTGACTGGATGCCTGTTTTATGTGATATAAATATAGCTATTCCTGCTCATTTTTGGTTTCCATTCACATGGAGTGTCTTTTTCTATCTCTTTACTTTCAGTTTACATGTGCCTTTATAGGTTACATGAGTTTCTTGTAGACAGCACATATTTTTTTTAAAAAAATCTATTCAGCTGTTCTACATCTTTTAATTTTTTCCATTTACATACAGTGCTATTGCTAAATAAATTCATACAAGTAACTATTTTATTACTTGTTTTTTGGCTTATTTATTTATTTATTTGAAACAGAGTCTCACTCTGTTGCCTAGGCTGGAGTGCAGTGGCACAATCTCGGCTCACTGCAACCTCTGCCTCCCAGGTGATTCTCATACCTCAGTCTCCCAAGTAGCTGGCATTATAGGAATGTGCCACCACATCTGGCTAATTTTTGTATTTTTAGTAGAGAGGGGGTTTCACCATGGTGCCCCGGCTGTTCTTGAACTCCTGGGCTTGAGTGATCTGTCCACCTTGGCCTCCCAAAGTGCTGTGATTACAGGTGTGAGCCACCACCCCTAGTGCGTTTATTATTATTATTTTATTTATTTTTGTTTTAGACAAGGTCTCTCTCTGTCATCCAGTTTGGAGTGCATTGGTGTGATCATAACTAACTGAATCCTTTAACTCCTGGGCTCCAGTGATCCTCCTGCCGCAGCCTGCTGAGTATCTGGGACTGTCGGTACATGCCATCCTGCCCAGTTTTGATTGTTGTTAGTTCTACTCTTCCTTCCTTCCCATCTTCCTTTGCGGTTAAGTGATTTTGCTCTGGTAGTATGTTTTAATCCCTCTCTTTTTATTTCTGGCGTATCTATGACATCCTTTTGTTTTGTGGTTACTGTGAGGCTTACAAAAAATATTAGAGCTATAACAAGTTACTTTAAACTGATGGAAACTTAACATTCAGCACCAAGAAAGGAAGCCAGTAAAAAAAGTTTAAAACTCTGTGCTTTAATTCCATGCCTCCCATATTTTGACTTTTTGTTGCCACAGTTTACATCATTTTATATTGCCCATCTCCTAACAAACTGTTGTCCTTATTTTTGATAGCTTTTAGTCTTCACACCAAAGATATGAGTGTTTTACACACCACAGTTACAGTCTTAGAGTGTTATGAATTTGTTTACTTACTCTCAACGGTGAGTTTTATACCTTCACATATTTTCTTGTTGCATGTTAGCATCTTTTCTCATCAGATGCAGAACTCCCTTTAGCATTTCTTGTAAGATAAGTCTGGTGCTGATGACTTCTTTAGCTTTTGTTTGTCTTGGGGCTTTATCTCCCCTTCATGTTTAAAGAATAGATTTGGTGAGTATAGTATTTTCAATTGGCAGTTATTTTCCTTATGCCCCAACTTTTACAGCTTCCACATGAAGTACAGCATCCTAAGCCTCCTGGCTTTAACAGTAGAGGGGACTAGGCATATGTGTCTCTAGATCACAAAACAAAGGTGTGTTTTCCAAAAAGTACACTCTCTAGATATAGTGCAGAAAAAAGGCTAGAATACACAGCCTCCATTTTTTTCTCCAGAAGAGGTTTATTGCACTATTTTTCTGTTTGTTTGTTTTTGAGACAGAGTCTTGCTCTTGTCACCTAGGCTGGAGTGCAGTGGCACCATCTCAGCTCACTGCAACCTCCCCATCTCGGGTTTAAGCAATTTTCCTGCCTCAGCCTCCTGAGTAGCTGGGATTATAGGCACCCACCTCCATACCCAGCTAATTTTTGTATTTTTAGTACAGACAGGGTTTCACCATGTTGGCCAGGCTGGTTTTGAATTCTTGGCCTCAGAGGATCCACCCACCTCAGCTTCCCAGAGTGCTGGGAATTACAGGTGTGAGCCACTGTGCCTGGCCTGTTGCACATTTTTTCCAGTGGCTACTTGGCAGCTTGGCTTCCAGTGAACTTGCATTGCTGAGCTAATGGGGTAGACAAACTAACCCTCCAAAAGACTGAGCTGGAAGATGTCACTTCCTGAGCCTTTCTCTAGCTCACTCCAGTGATAATTTCAGGTCTACCCGTATATCCTGTAGGTATCTGGTCCACACACCAACTGCCACAACTTGTATAGCCCTCAGAGAAGGGACTGTCTCTTTAATGACCTAGTTCTGAAAGTCCGCAGGGCTGTTCATTTCTGAGTGGCCCTAGACACTGGAAACAAACAGGTAAATATACAATTGAGCCAACTGCTTATAGCTATCTCCCCCAGAGAGTACAACCTAACACCAGTGCAGGCATTTGTCACAGATCCTCTCCCTGGCTTAGTGCAGAACGAATGGGAGATAAAGGTTCACACTCAGCTTCGCCATTATGATAGAAGAAACTGAAATATATATCCAACACCCCCACATTTCTAGCTACATATAAAGTGTTTGGAGTCTGCCTTATTTGACTTAGAGTCTGATACATGGCACATTCTAATCTCCAAGGGGCCATCAAAAACAGAGACAATAGTTTGGACAAACACAAGTAATTAGGAGGCACCTTAAAATCTCTGGCCAAATGATTTGGCAAGATTATTCTCCTTCACTCATTTAGATTGCACTTGAGAATAGTTAACATTGCATAGTTAGGGCAGAAGTCATCAATCTGGATGCTAAATATTATATATGTCTCTTTCAACATATCCCTGGTTTATTTTCCCTATGTGATAGATATATTTAAAAAAAAAAAATCAGTTGCATTGGGTTCCAGGATACTCATTGTGTAATAAGACTTCCTTGATTCATTTGTACAAAGCTGTGCCATACTCCTTGAGACACATTTAGATCCGGTCAGTGTGTCTTGGTCCTGGTCAGAATGTGAGAAACTAATTTTTGCCCAAGAGTACCAGAAGTGGCCTGGCAGTGCCACAAGATAGCAGCAGATTGTACTGAAAAAGGCCAATACAATAAGGAAGATAACAAGCCATCAAATACTAAAACATATATTTCATCCTTCCTTCTCATTAAGGATATGTCTCATATCTACCTCTTCCTAAGATACCACCCACACCAAGATCTCCATCTCCCAGCTCTTACATTGCTGCATAAAATACCCATGCTTGTATCTTGTTCTTTTAACTAAAATTTCTTTATTCTAGTCCATGCTGTTCTCTTAACCTTATTACAGTGATCATAAGTTGAAGAGGGAGAACCATGTAAGAACAAGTCTGCAAGTTAAACTCTAGTCCTGACGCTGGAATCCACAAACAGAAAATCTGAGTTATAGATAAGCCAAGATTCTGATTCTGAAGCACAAAACACACTCTTAGATCTTAGGCATCTAATATCCTATCAATATTTAATCAAGAAAGTGGCAGGCAGATGACAGGGGTTGGGGAGCAAGCAAGATAGAAAAACAACTTTTACTAAATAATGACCTAGTACCAAAAACATTACTGACATTAATTGATCCATATAACAAATATTTGTTAGGAGTTTAGTTCTGGCACTGAACTATAAAATCATCATTCCCATTTTATGTCTGAGGAGTCAGAGCCACATATCTAAAAAGTAATTCACCCACAAGATTTCAGCTCAGATCTACATAAAGAAAAGCTCATGTTTGTTCTCTTATGGCAAAGTGTGGAAGGAAGTAAAGTAATTTAAGAGACTAGAAAGAAGATCAGAGGAAGACAGCATTGAGGAAGATGTACATAGCCCCATAATATCCTAAGTCTTCAAAAAAAATTAATTCAAATTATATTAGCCAACAGTGTTTTAATATACTTTATAAACAATAAGTTTTTTCACAATATTCTATTTACTCATCTACCAATAAAACTTTTCTAGGAATTCAACAATAAACCAACATTAAAAGCTTTCTAGCATAAATCACTGATTGCCAAGATAACCAAAGGCCATCTTTAAAATACCTTTATTATTATTATTTCAAAAGGTTTGTGGTTATGTTTCTTTAAAAAGCTGTTTAATTATATATGCTGAAATTTTTATGGGTGAAATTATTTGATGTCTAGGATTTTCTTTAAAATAATGTAAGGGTACAAAAGATACCCTCATCAGTTATCAACTGATGGGTCATCAGTTGATAACTGGTGAGCTAGGTAATAAATACACAAGTTTGTTTTACTCCTTATTCTAAATAGTAAAAAATCTATCACCATGTTTGGGCACAAGCTTTCCCTCCAAGGAAATATTAAAAATATTTTTCAGTGCTTTTTCTATCTCTTCCTCATTCAGAGTCTTGAACTCTATCAGATCTGTATTGTCCTTATAATTGAATCTCCTATAGGTGAGGGTGAAGCCCACTAAACAGTGAACCCCATCTGGGGTCTGCAAGGAACAAAATGATTTGCTAGTAAATACAGATGCTGGAGATGTCTGCAAGTATGTATTCATAGACTCAAAATCTTCAATTGTTCGAGGCTCAAGAGTAAAGGAGTAGATTTTTCGGTATTTGCTGCTTTCTATGAGATCAGAATTAAGAAATTCTTCATTTGGAATGTACTGGTCTCTTCTGATTTGGTCTAGATACCAGAATCCATTCTCTTCCGTCAAACGGAAGATGCAAGGTACCTGAGGTTGATCCTTCCCAGAAATTAACTCAAGAGGCTGCCATATCTGATATGAGCGTCCAAACCCAGCATCGACAATGTAGTTCTTGCCATCAATGGTCACCTGCAGGAGAAGGTGAATCATACCAGTGCTGTATTTTTTGGCTGGAGTGCTATAAACATACCCTCCCAACATTGTGGTCTCAAAACCGATTGTGGTCAGAGCCCAGTACAGAAGATGATTGACCTGGAGACACCACCCACCCCGATTTCTTCTCACAATTTGATCAAAAATGGCCTCTAAACCCAAGTCCATGGCTTCCCCACAATGGATGTTAAGGTTCTCAAAGGGAACAGCTCGGATCTGGTGCTGAAGAATGTCAGTTAATGTTTCCAAGTCCAATTTGTTCCGTGACTTCTTATAGCCAATTCTTTCAAGATATGCTTCAATGTCCATGATCCCCTAAGCAAAGAAAACAAAACAAAAGCAAATCATATTACCTTTACACTTGGATTTGAGTAAGCTAGTTATGGCTGTATTTTAAATATGTAAAAATACAATAGTTTTAAGTATAATAATTATTTCTAGTGCTTTTATTGTATGAATTCCTTTTACATGCATAAGTTCACTTAATAGTCCCAGAATCCTATAATAAATGTATTATCACGTCTTCTTTCAAGTGTGAGAAGTTGGAAATCAAGATTAAATGGTGAGTCAAATGATAAACAGCTTGTTCATCGTTCTTTTGGTGATGAATAAAAGAGAGATTCCAATTGGTATCAATTAAAATAGGCTTGTAAACATCTTCTGATATAGGCAGAAGAATCATGCAATAGCATGTACAGTATTCGTGGTACTTGACCCACTCAATTTCCCATTTAGTTGAGCCTTATACAAACTTCCCCACTCAATAACAGTATTGATTCACTATCCATTGATTGATTAACTCAAGAAATAGTTTACTGGATAGCTATAATGTGTTTCCTACTTGATGTAGTGCTTGCTTACTCTCGAAAATCTTGTTTTAGTGGGAGTTGGAGTGACACCCATAGGAAACTGAATACATGGATAAAACATGCAATACGTTAGACTGTAGGAAGTGCCCTGGGAAAGCTAAAGCAAAGAAAGGAGTTAGTAAATGCACAGGGAAAGCTCCCATTTCAAATTAGTTGGTAAAAAAAAAAAAAAAATCACTAAGATTTGGAACATGCCAAAGAATAAGCCCTGAGGATATGTGTGAGGAGGACTGTTACAAGCATGGGAAGAGAAAATAACAAGGCCCTTAGCTGAAAACTGCATTGAGAGTTCAAAAAGCATTCAGGAAGTCAGGGCGACTGGAGCACACGAGTGAGAAGGAGAATGGATTGAGATGCGATCTGACAGGCAACTGCAGCCTTGGAGCCAAGACTGGCATTTTGGCTTTTACTCGAAGTGAAATGAGAAATATAAATGAGAGAGGCCTCAGGGAAGGGTTGTAATTGAACAATGTTTGCCACAATCAAAGTGATCTTTCTGGCTACTGTATAGAGAATAGGCTGCCTATATTGAGCCTTATGGACAGTCACATGAACTAGGTGGGACCAGTTTGAATACATATGCCCTAGGACCGGTGCTCAGCTCATGGATAACATATGACCTAAGTAGGTCCAAGACTTTATTGAGGAACTTCTGCTGAAACCTAAGCATGAACATTCTGCTACAAGGTAGAAGCTGGTGGGGTATTCATTTGAAGCTATTGGTGAGAAACTATTGAAGAACAACACTAGCAAAGAGTTTACCAAGTTTACAAAGAAATGAAAAACAGGAGAATGCAGAATGAGGGTAGACCTCAATGAAGCTGAAAGCTATCTTTTAACTTTCAGGTAATGTGAACCAAAAAAATAAATGCCCCTTATTTAGTTAAATCTTTTAGAAAAAGTTTTTTAAACCTGCCATCATAGAGTCTTCATCTTTGGAGACTCTGATTCTAACAGTGCTACACAGACCTCAAGAATAACTCTTTTGTAATGTGGTATGGCCTGAGGATGACCTTGTACAAATGGACCTGCCCTGAGTTGAATGGTGATAAGTGAAGCATCTTCTTTTCCCTTCTCTTACCATTTCTTCTGTATTCTCCTATTTTTCCTTTCTGACCTAGCTATCCTTCCCAAATTGCCAGTTTCCAACTTTCTTCTTGATGTCTACAACATTATTTCTCCTAAATCTATTAGATGGCATTTCTTCTCAGCCTAACTTGCACCAGCACCCTTTCTTAGCATTTGGACAAGCTCTAAAATTCTACCACTCAGACAAAGAGACAGAACAAATTGTAGCCAGACAATGCTAACCTCTCTCTGCCCCCCAACCTAGAATCTGTACTGAGGATGTAAAGAAGAGAGAAAAGCTGATCCAAAAGGAAGGGAGTTTTTACATACCTGAACATTTGATTCTTACTTAGAATATCATTCCTTCTATTAAGAAATTACTTTATGTCTCTTTTATTAGGTATAATTTGTTTACAAGCATTTGTTTTCCTCTTTTTCTTTCTCTCTTGCATTCTCTTTGTTCCCCTCCCTCCATCCTTCCCCTCCTTTTCTCTTTTTCTTTAAGGTAAAGTGTTGATTTGGAGTTTAGCAACTGCCATGTCCATTTGAAAGAAGTCAGTTTTGTTAGAGTCCTGGATAGAGCAATATGTTGTAACCAAATCATATTTGAACATTCTGTGACTGAATGTAAGAAATTGTGCATTACTGATGTTGTGCTTCAAGGTGGAATGCTGAAAGCACTTGGAAAGTAGTTACCAGGAAAAGAGCTCACTGAAAACACTACTAGATTTATATATCCGCTAGTAGAACCTCTGTGCAGTGATAAATCCCTCCCTTTCACCCTTTCATCTTGATCATAAATATAAGACTTAAAGGAGGCAGAGTGAACATGCTTAGGGAACCCACTGAGAGCTCTCAGAAAGGCACTTAATACCTTTCTTAGTAAGTTGAAAGTAGGTTGATCTTCAGTTTTAATCCAGAAGGCAGAATGCTGCTTCTTCCTGGCTTAAATTCTAGAAATAAGAGAAAAGAAAGTTAGAAATATGTAATGTGACTTCTTTGAAAACAATAGTTGTGTAGATCATAAAGTATGAAGACTTCCTAAAAATCACAAAACAGAGGGAATGGACTGCAATAAAGTGAAATTTGAGTTGTATAAGAAAGTGTGTAGAAACTAACTATAGAGATGGGTGCAGCGCTGATGGGGCTAGAGCTCTCTGGCTTACAAACCTGGAAGCTGGGGAAGCCACCAGGAGCCGGGCTTCCACAGCCTCCAGAGGCAACCCGCCAGCTGATGAACTGCCATGAGATAAGCAAGGAAGAGTAAGCCAGGTTCCATGCCCCAAATCAATACTACGACATATTACCAACACATCAGACCAGGAAGTAGTGGTAGCACCTGGTCTTCCTCTAGGTACAACTATAACTGGGAATGTTGAGGCAGATAAACAAGGTAAGGCCCTTAATGGGTGATGCTACTCAAAAGAATAAGGACCACCTGCATACAGAAGATCCACCATCAGAGCATCTCTTGTCGTATTCACCTCCCCTCACCTCCACTAAAAACACTGAGGAGTCTGTGAAAGGAAATTCAATTTTGGGATCCCAAACTCATTTAGCCAAGGGGAAGAGTCAAGCTGGTATCTGGGTCATGCAAACCTGCCTCCCAGTTTTTGGCTCCTAAATAAGGTGGCTACAAGATGAAAAGCGACACACATCCCCCATGTTTTGCCCACAAGGAAACTCCTCGTGAGCTGTTAAAACCTCATCACGACAAATTGGGAGACATTAATATAACAATAAACCATAAGCTTACAACAGCTTTAATTGACACAGATGCAACTATATCTCTGATAAACCCTACCTTATTTAGAAACCCCATTCCTCAGAGTAATGAAAAAAATTAACATGGTGGATGTGTCTAATAAAATGATCTCATGTTTTAAGTCCAAACCTATGTCTTACCGTTTCATCGGGTTCAGCTCCCTCACCACAGGCTCTATGTGTGACACGCTCAGTAGGTCCCATATGTCTCTTATATGCCCTGGGGCCCCTGTCAGTCTTTTGGGCTGTGATCTCCTCAACATCCAGAATGCCATATCTCTTTTTCATCAAAAGGTGAACTTTTTTTAGAATTGGGGTCAGGAGACCAAAAATACCAAATAATAAAATGTCCTGACAGTGTACCACAATTTAATGCTAGTAATGTTAAAACGTCATCTTGTGGCCGGGCAAATGAAACAGAGACACAGAAGGAAATATTAGGGGAGAAGAGAAAGTACTGGAATAAAGAGCAGGAAACAATAAAACTCCTTTTCACTTCCCCAGTCTTCCTGTTAACACCAGAAGATGAGCGCTGGCTCAAGGATGTCCCCTCCCACTTACGGTCTCAATCAAATACAGATAAAGGGAAAATATTCTCAGCCACTCCAATAAAGGCAGAGATAAACCCAAAGAAACCTGTACCCAACCTTAATACCCTCTACGACAGGAAGCCATAAATGGAACTGCCCCTATTATACAAGATTACCTAAAAAGGGGACTCATTATTCCCTGCACAAGCCCCTGCAACAGCCCTATATTCCCTGTAAAGAAACCAAGCAGGAGACGATGGAGATTTCTGCAGGACTTGCGGGCAATAAATAAAATTGTAATACCCAGGCACCCAGTGGTCCCCAACCCACGTACATTTCTATCAGCTACCCACTATCGGCCAGTATTTCTCAGTTGTGAATCTCTGCAGTGCCTTTTTTAGCATTCCTATAGATCCAGACAGCCTGTATTTGTTTGCCTTTACTTGGAAAGAATGGCAATATACGTGGACTGTAATGCCCCAAGGGCATACAGAAAGTCCCACTTACTTCTCCCAAAAACTAAAAGCTGATTTAGAGGATTTAATTTTTCCCCAGGGCTCAACACTCATTCAGCACGTGGATGATGTTGTATGTTCAGGTGCACTGTCTTTCTCCCAGGAAAGTAGTCTACATTTATTCAGCCAGCAAGGGACACAAAGTCTCCAAAGACAAACCTCAGTTGTGCTTCCTGCAAGTTAAGTATTTGGGCCATATTATCTCAGTTCAAGACTGAGTATTAACCCTGACAGAGGAGAAAAACTTTAGCTTTCCCAGTGCCCATCACCAAGAAATAACTTAGAGAATTTGGGGGACTGGCAGGCTATTGTACAAACCGGATACCAAATTTCTCCCTTATGGCTCAGCCTCTATATGCATACCTAAAAAATGAACAACCTGATTCCGTCATGTGGACTCCAGAGAGACAATCAGCTATCTAACAAAGAAAGGAAATGATAACTAATGCCCCAGCCTTAGAGCACCCAAACTACAAGTTGCCTTTCTCCCTTTGTGTGCACAATACTGGAGGTACTGACTCAGAAACACGCTGATCATCAGAGACCTGTAGGCTATTATAGCCAAGAGCTGGACCCTGTAGCTCAAGGGCTGCCTCCTTGTATGAGTAATAACAGTCACGGCCCTTCTGTACAAGTCTGTTGAAGAAATAATTATGGGCTTCCCCCTTACCATTTTTGTGCCACATTCTATTGAGACCCTTCTGAATTCTCACCATACTCAATACCTATCTGTCAACCAGTTAGCCTCTTATGCAATTTTGCTGTTACTCCTCTCCCAGTATTACTATTTCCTGCTGTAATAATCTTAGTCCAGCCACTCTCTTGCTGGGCCCTTCCAACAAGACCCCTCATGACTGTGTTCTGATGGTTAACCAACTTCTCATCACCAGGACAGACCTACAAGAGATGCCACTGGATAATGCTGAGACAGAATAGTATACAGGTGGGTCTTATTCAAGAGAAGATGGAAATTTTAGAGCAGGACATGCTGTGGTTACCTTACTAGAGGTAACTGAAGCTACTCCTTTTCCCCAAGCCAGATCAGCTCAATGGCTGAAGTGACTGCCTTTAAGGTTGACTCGAGCTTGTCAAGTGACGAAAGACAAGGCTGCAAACATTTACACTGACAGCCGCTATGCTTTTGGGGTTGCTCATGACTTGGGATGTTATGGAAAAGGAGAGGATATTTAACCTCCTCAGGGAAACCCACAAAAAACTGGACAAGTATCAGAGCTGTTAGAAGCTATTCTAAAACCAAAACATTTGGCAATTTAAAAAATCCCAGGTAACTCAAAATTAGACACCACAGAAAGTCAGGTTAACCAACTGGCTGACACCACAGCTAAAAAAGAGCAGTATCTGGGCCACCAGGTATGTTATGTAAAATGCAGATTCCTTGCATTTTTTCCTCTCTCCTTTTTGTTAGTGTCATCTTAAGTTAAAAATGCAGATTCACTGAGCCAGACAAAGCCATGAATAACTATTTTTCCCTACTCCCCTCTTACATGAAAACTGTGCTTCTCAACATTCCATCCTTTCCCTTTTAAATTTGGAGCCCTCAAAATCATCTTTGAAGAAAGGCATAGACCTGCCTCCCAGGCACACATCCTTAACTTTGGCAAATACATCTCCTAAAATGATTGAGACTTGTCTCGTCGTTTTCCTTGATTGACAAGTCTATGCCAACCCCAACTGGACATCTCACCATCCACACCAGATTCAAGCCACAAAAGGTGGAAACAGAGCTATACGTGCATGAAAATGATGAAAAAACAAAATGAAAATACTATGAGATTGGGATTAGAAGAAAAGACCATAACATGAAAACGTTACCAAAAAAAAAAAAAAAACCCACAACCAATTCAAGAAGAAAAATAAACTGAATGAAAAAAAAAAATGTTTTACAGGTATCTGGGGCTATAGACCATGTAAAATAAACTCAGTAATAAGCAGCTAAAAATAAAGTGATAATAGTTTTATGAAAAGAAAGATTTCATACCTTAGAATACTAATTAAGGACAGAAATGGAACTAATTAATGATGAACAGAATACATAATGATCAACAGAAAGGAACTATATAGATATAACATCACATTGCTTATGCGGAAGAAAAGCTTGTTATTCATAGTAAAGGCTAATGAAATGATAAATCAATTAAGATAGAACCTAATAGAAAGCAGTCAAGGATAATCCAATGTAAAGACAATTGGTGCTTCTAAAGTGGAGAACTCAAAAAGTGCAATAGAAAAATGTGTGGCACTATTCACAATAGCAAAGACACAGAATCAACCTAAATGCCCATCAATGACAGATTGGATGAAGAAAATCTGGTACTTATATGCCAAGGAATACAATGCAGCCACTTAAAAGAACAAGAGCATGTATTTTGTGAAAACATGGATGGAGCTGGAGGCTATTATCCTTAGCAAACTAACATAGGAACAGAAAATGAAATCCTGCATGTTCTCACTTGTAAGTGGGAGCTAAATGATTAGAATTAACAGAAAGAAGGAAACAGCATACACTGGGCCCTTTCACAGGCTGGAGGGTGGGAGGAGGGAGAGGATCAGGAAAAATTACTAATGGGTACTAGGCTTAATACCTGAGGTGATACAACAAACCCCCATGACACAAGTTCACCTATATAACAAACCTATACATGTGCCCCTGAACTTAAAAGTTAACCAAAGGACAGGTGCAGTGGCTCACACCTGTAATCCCAGCACTTTGGGAGGTCAAGGCGGGCAGATCATAAGGTCAGAAGTTCGAGAACAGCCTGGTCAACATGGTGCAACCCTGTCTCTACTAAAAATACAAAACCTAGCTGGGTGTGGTGGCATATGCCTGTAATCCCAGCTACTTCGGAGGCTGAGGCAGGAGAATCACTTGAACTCAGGAGGAGGAGACTGTGGTGAGCCGAGGTTGCGCCACCACACTCCAGCCTGGTGACACAGTGAGATCCTGTCTCAAAAAAAAAAAAAAAAGAAAAGAAAAAGAAAAATGTATTTAAAGATAAATATTTTCCTGAAATGATGAAAAAAACTGAAGCTGAAAAACAAAAGAAAATTCTGGGAGAGTTTGATATAACATGTTTGCCACTGGAATATATTTTTGTTAAATTATTAAAAGTCAAAATTTAAGACAACTACTCAAGTATCTTGCAGAGAAAGAAAATATTTCATAAAAGAAAAAATATCAGGCCAGCAAGAGAATGTTACACAGAAATATCCTTCAGTGAAGTAATAGAAGTATATCTTCAAAGTATTGAAGGAAAGTGTTAGCTCCAAATATTCTGGTTAGTATTTCACTTGATCATAAAGGCAACATGAATATCAAGCTAATATCAAATATAAAAGAGCTTAAGAAATGCAACAACTGAGCTATCCTGATAGTTTGTTTCATGGCCAGTGAACAAGTAGATGAATATGAAAACCAAGAAATGGCGAAGTCACACTAAAGGAGTGTTGGTGAATACTGACTCCTTTCAACACAGAACAAAGAGTAGAAAGGTGATAAGACTTAAGGATATTGAACGAGCCATTTTAGCTTATATGGAGATAGAAATACGAAGTTAAAAATTCAATCTGAAGATCCAGAAAGACCAGATTCTAGGAGACTCCAGTACTGTCAACACTGGAATTGTTAAAAGACAAATTTTTAGGCATAATAGTTGTTAAAGTTTATTAGAACAACAGCAATTCATGAGTCAGTCAGCAGCAGACCACAGGTGGCTCAATGTTCTGCTGAGGAAAGGGGAGGGCAAGAGAGAAGCTTTTATAGAATGTTCACAGGAATGAGACAAAGAAAAGATACTGGGTTGGTTAGAATGAAATGTCCCTAGTTAGAGGTTAGTTGACGATTGATGAAGTCTCTAGTTTTCTACTGTTTACAGGTAAACAGTAAAATGAATGAAAATGAATGAAACCACAGGAGTCACTCAGTCTGATGGCCCCCCAATTAACAGATTTTTAACAGAACATATTCTGGTTAAATTATTGAAATGTAAAGGCAAAACATATCTAGCTATAATAAAATAAGGAGGGGTAGTGCTTGAAGGGAATTAGAGAGTACATTCCCTGTCTAAAGTAATCAAAAAAATTGAAATATATATATATATATATATGGTGACTCAAATGAGACCCCTTAGACCTATTGGGTTTGGGCACGGCGGCTCATGCCTGTAATCCCAGCACTTTGGGAGGCTGTGGTAGGTGGATCGCTTGAGATCAGGAGTTCGAGACTAGCCTGGCCAACATGGTGAAACCCTGTCTCTAATACAAAATACAAAAAAAAAAAAAATAGCCATGCATGGTGGCACACACCTGTAGTCCCAGCTACTAGGGAGGCTGAGGCAGGAAAATCTCTTGAACCCAGGAGGCAGAGGTTGCAGTGAGCCAAGATCATGCCACTGCACTCCAGCCTGAGCAGTAGAGTGAGACTCAAACCAAAAAACAAAACAAAACAAAACAAAAAAAGACCTATTGGTTTCCACCATAAGTACAGAAGGGTATAAAATAAAATAGGCCTACTCAGGGTACCTAAGAGGGAACGTGGATCTGGCAAGGATTCAGGTCTGAAGTTATCATGGGAATGAAAATGAATGAATAACTTTCAATAACTTACCTGGATCTCTTCAGATCTCTTTTACCATCTCACAGTGCCCTTGGCCTGCCTTCTGTGTTCTTCTATTTTAGGACCTGTATCTTGACTCTCTTT